TAGTCATAAATAAATATAGACTGGTCGATAAAAGAGTTTTATGAAACGAAAAACTGTGACTTGCAATTTTGTGTACTTTATTATATAGCAGTTTAGTTTTGTTTAATCTCTAAGACTGAAGATCATGCAACTTTTCAGAATTCGGAAATCCGACAAAATAGATATACATGTTTTCAAGTTACTTGAAGTTATTTCCTTTTTCCAGTCTATATTTATTTATGTCTATGGCCATAACAATATATAATGAACTTCTTAGGATTTTAACACAATAAGAATTTGAAATGTTACGTTCATCCACCAAAAAAACAACAACACAATTATTAATAACAACAGTACAACAGGTAGTAAAAAGAACTAAATAGTATTTTTCTTGTACAGCGACGAGATGTTTCATTTTCTAAACAATAACGTTTACATGAGTTGTTTTTTTTTAGGAAAAAAATGTTCAGTTTTGCTCATAAAATACATTTAAAAACATGAATTCTTGAATTATGTGAATGTTAGAGAAACAAAATTATATCATGGGCAGTAATAATATGGCTTGGCCCAGCAACAATATTGTCTAGCAACATTAGTAGCCGAATAGCACCGGATAGTAAAAAATGCCGGATATTCGGCAGAAGCCGGAGCCGGAGCGACTATCTTGTGCACCCCTAATATATATATAATTTATTTATGAGAAATACATGTTGCATTATGTATGGCACATTGGAAACATAAAAAGCAATGCATATAACTGAGTCAACTGAATAAGAATATATATGAATATAAAACAATACATCGGAATATTAAAAATGGAATGTCGTTATAGAAAGACGAATTATAGCTAGTCGTATTTGAAGACAGCAGCTTTATTATACAGCTAAGCATTATACGTTTCACATGGTTAGGAAGTTAGGTGTTAAAATCAGTATTTTCTAGCACTTGTTTCGTTAAATCTTTCAAAAAGATTCTTGTTTCCTTTTCTTTTAAATTGTGGAGCATAATTTTTAGAGATTTTACATAAAGTGCGTCATCTTAGCTTACAGCCTTACCTCGGTTTGGAAACGAGGCGTGTTTTCAATGGAAAGAAACGATAAGTGGATGCACACAAATTTTGTAACAGTACCTTCTCTAATAGCATTGTGATGATACTTCTAATGATTGCGTCCTTTAATTTAGAAACATAGGAATCCTGAAACAAATGTTAAGTTAGTTTAAAACATAGCAGAAGCAGACTTGTTAGGAATCCCATTGTTGAAAATGAATAGATATATTCTATGTAACCTAATTAGGTATTATCATTTTGTCATGAAGAGTGGGCTAAGGTATGGAGAAATTGTGGTCCAACGTTGGCTGAAGGGTACTATTCCTTTAGTATGCAATTAAAATACCTTGAAAATTAGAACGAAATCGGACGAAAACTAAGAACAGTAACCACTGCAAGTTTGAGTAACTTTATTATCTTTATTTTTTTTTTCATTGTGTTGAAGGGTGGGCAGGAGTGTCGTTGTCACATTTCTGGTGTGGCAAGTTTGGAACAAAACTTGAACTACTGGTCGGAATTGCCCAGTCCACAGCAACACTCGCAGAACTCAAAGCAATCTGGAAAGATAAAAGCATAGCCCTTGATACTGAAATCAAACGGATGCCATCCCTGGTCATTGTCACATTTTTATATGCTTGTGAGTCTTGGATGCTGACTGCAGATCCCGAGAAGGGAATATTAACAATGGAATTGGGATGCTTAAGAAAGGTCCTTGGAATTGCATACAAAGACCGCATCACAAACGAAGAAATTAAAGACAATATTAGTAGAGATTGGACCCCACGACGTCCTGTTAACTACTGTCCAAAAAAACGTAAACTAAACCTCTATTATATTATTAGATTATAAGGAAAATAATCGAAGTGAAAGAAGTTAAAATACTTTCTATTCTTGGAAACGAAACAGGGAAGAGAAAGTACATTTCAATCACTTTTTTTTTTTAATTCAGTTATAGAAATGATTTTATGGGATCCTATGGCTGCCAATATATAAGCTTTATAAGAGCACAAAAACAGTACGTGTGTTTGTTGATTTATCTACTTTTTTAAATATTTTTTTTTCAATTAGACTTCCGACACTAGCCATTCCTACTATTTAGGTACATTTTATGACAAGTGGAATCAATAAGTACAAGATGGACTGTGAATATAATATAAAGAAAGATTAAACATATTTGGAGCACTAACTTTACTAATCACTATCAATATGAATTCAATAATCTCAATCTCTATTGCAGTTCAACAATATTATAATATAATTATAAATTATTTTTAAAAATATAATAGAATCATTAAAAAACAGCCTAAACAAAAAAAAATGAATTTAAAAGATTATTTTAAATATATTCAAGGTGAAATTTCATAATTGCATTCTATTGTATATTATATACAAGTTGAATTAAACTCATAGCATAGTTTCAAGATGTAGTTGTTTAAATTTAATACAAGTACGTGTTATATATTTAGAAATGAGATATAAATATACAAAGTAATAAATGCGATATAGATGAAACTGAATTAATTATCCGAGTAACCATTGTGTTTGCCTTTCGTGAGAGATCACTACAGGAAATGTGTTTTGATGTACATTGTATTAAAATGTATCGCCGCGTAGAGAAAGGACCACACCAAACATTGGCTGCTGACCTAACGAAATGGCTGAGTAAATATTAGCGAGAACTAAAACTAAAACAAAACAAATGATTGTATAAATATAGAAACCATAAATATTTGTGATCACATGAGGATATAACTCCATTTATAGTAATTTACACTTTGCCATTGCAATGAATTATATGGTGTAGGCCCTATATAAAGTTTTGCATACATACATACTTATGAAGCCTTTCTGTTTATAAATTGTATAACTATTATATAAATATACAAGGTGACCACTGAATGGATCATACAGACAAAGGTAAATGTACATTTGTCGTGCGAATAAACACCACCGTGTAAGGCGTGTTTACACAACCACAAATAATATGATCATTGACCGTCTGATGAATGCTGATAGATTATACAAGAGAATTTTTATGAATATAAATTAAAAAACAACGACAACAATAAGAGGTCTAACAGCTTTACATGTGATGCTTACAGTAATAGACCTAACAGCTTTACATGTGATATCTATGGTACTAGATCAAACAGCTTCACATTAAATATCTACAGCAATAGACCAAACAGCTTTATAAGTGATATCTCTCTCAATGTTGTATTTTATAAGGAAGTAAAATGGACAGTTTGGACTGAATGGAATGTATAAGACAACGCTGCCTAACTCTGTGACATTTTACGTCTCGAGAGATGATCTTTACCTTGGCCACATCTCAATGCTACCATTTAGGGTAACAATGGAGCAACATTGATATAGTGTTCTCATTGTCTCTCGATTCAACATATTTTTAGTACAGGGTACCCTTATACTGCCTTTTAGTATCTAAACACCCTTACCAAAGCTTCTTTAAGGGGAGGGGTGTTATGTGGTGTGTGTGTCTATAGTGACGGTGAGAAGAGGTTAGCAATGGCTTGTGTATGATGCAAGATAGGTGGCGATGTCGTAACTGGTCTTAGTTAGGGGAGACGACTCCAAAACGTGATATTAAAATGTGTTATGGTAGCGAGTTAGATTTTCATTTATAAACAAAAAATTATTACTCAAGACTAGTACATTTACTTTTATCTCATCTCATCTTAATGTAACAAAAGTTATGTTTAGTTTTGTTCACGACAAAGTTGTTCAAGTTGTTTGAAGTTTTAAGATGCTATACGCCTACAACGGTTTAGTTGTCTACCAGCAGTTTGGGGCTGAAAGTCAACGACCGTCAACAAGGGGGCGAGGAGGAGGGTGATATAATGAACAATTACCTTACTTAAACAACGATAAGTATTACCGTTATACCAAAACTTAAGGAAGGCATTTAAAGAAACTTTTAAAGACTTAAACATGTAATCGTTCATGCGTTTCTCATTATATCTTGCGAGACGAATACAACAATATTGGAATTTTTTTTAAACTGGATTTCATCAATAAATAAACCCATATACATCCAGCTCTGAACAATATCTGTTTCGTTTGCTGCTTTTAGTTCAATGTACATGCTTTATACTTGGGTTTTGATGGAGTCTTTTATTTTCTCTAAGTATGGCCGTGCTACCAAAATATAGCTGTATGTTGTACACCATTATTTTTTTTTGTACTTTAGTTAAAAAGAAACATAAATTAAGATCAAGCCTTATAAATGATATATATTTACTCTCTACTTCCATAAGAATCAGTATGTTTACTTATAAATGAAATAAGAACTATAAATGACTATTAACAAATAAAATATCAATGTAAAAATGTTGTTTTGATTATTTTCTTAAACTCAGTTTGAACCTGTCGTCTAATTAAACATTTTAAAACATTTGTTTAATTACATATCAGGCTTTTTGTTGTTAAAGCTTTCTCTAAAAAAAAATATATGCATAATAATAGAAGTTTAAAAAAAATATAATCAAAATAATAAAATATCTTATTTTAACATGTTAGGCGGACATTGTCCACTAATGACAGAGAGTTGTAAAACTTAAACAGGAGAAAAATGTGACTTGCTATAAACTGGCATTCACTCTCAATGCATACAGATTCTTTTATTGACGGTATAAAATAATGTTTGATAAGAAATATTTTAATAATACACTATAAAATACAAGTGAAAATATCAGAACCATCATTGAATGGAACAAGGCCCACGACACTAGCTCCAGCTGGAATAACCTGCCCAGTGTGCAGCCAAACATTTCGGGCTCACATAGGTCTCAACAGCTACGCGAGGTGGCACAAAGCCCTCAGGACCCTGGATGTCAAAAGTGGTCATCATCAAACCACCGATGGACGAACTATATATATATATCTGTAAACACATGCAGAGCAATGGATATTTGTTTCTTATTTCAATATTTGATTGATATGATGTTGAATATATAACAAGATTATAACGAAGCATATATATCCCGCGAAATAAACTCTTCTGGTAGTTCGTATTGTTTCATGGAAGTGGAAGAAGGTACTGTTAAATAAAGAACAGTGCAAGATCAAATTAATTGATTTTTACAGGGGCGGGGAAAAAAAAGGGGAAGGGAGTGAGGGGAAAGGAAAAAAAAACAATCTCTTTTGGGGACATGCTTAGTGGGAATGGAAAGCCTTGATAAGGTTTCCATTCTGCCCTAAGCTGATGGGTAAACACAACTCTGAGTCAGGATTAGAATTCGAGTCCACTTGTTAGTTGGCCAGGCCGTAGCCAAGCGGCTTTGGCCTCTCAGCCACACATCCCTTAAATTTCTTAAAATTTAAAACAATGTCGGATACGCCTTGGATTAAAACAATAGAAATTTCTTATAGTAATGGTCCAAATAACGAAACACATTTCATGCAGTGAGAAGGCTAAAAAAAAACATTATATCTGAGAAAAGACAAAACAAACATTTGTATATGAATCGGTTTCCAAGGCATCACAGTAGGTTATCACGAGTGATAAAACATTGTTGTAACAATAGAATCGAGAAAAAAAAATGAAGATGTGCATATCCAATAGTGTTGATCTCTAGGCATTAAAAGATATTCACAGTTTGTCTGTTAAAGCAGATAGCTGGTATTACTATTATACATGTTTATATTTCCCTTTTCAGATCATCGTTTTGAATTCTACAAGAGTTCTGTCCCGTTCTTTTAGTTTTTGGCCAGTCAATTCATCTCATCTGGCCTGTTGTTCGTCCAACTATTATGTAGTTCAATTTCAGTTGTTTCTACCTCTTTATATATATATATATATATATAACTTTTTTACTATATTAAAAAGTTAAATTCAGTAACAAAACTTACAAAAGAGTAAAATATACGTAAAATACATATGAAGCAGAATGTAGATATAGTTCCATAAAAATTATAAATCACAATCATAATTTTATATGGCACATTTTTGTTCCCCAATTTGTTTACGGATAACTACATATAATCAGAATCAACCTAGATAGCCAGTTGACCTCATGCAATCACAAATCACCATTGCAATATAAATTAAAATACAAATAAGGTGACAATGTGATCTAATTTTAAAAAAAATGATATTGTAAAGAAAAAAAAATGTCTGTACAAAATACAACAAATGTTGGGAACACAAGATCGGTACAATGGCACATGAGATATGAAAACAATTTGTATTCAACACCAAACATTTTCGGAGTTACTAGAAAGAGAATCACTTCCAAATTGCCTTACAATTCAAGTGTCTTCTCTTCATATCTCTTCCTAGGAAGCGAGTAAAGTAAATCTCCTTGCGATAAGTTGGTCAATGTGGCCGCACAATGACCAGCCGCCCTTACTTTGCCTAACTAACGTCTGGTATTACAGTTGAACGGACTAAGATCTCTTTGTTCCAAATGTAAGCCACGAGTTCTCAAGCCACCACACCCCCATGAAACCAATTCTCTTTAAGACGTCACAAAAACTTCCATTTCCAAAATCCAACCTATATAATTAGTTATAATTAACCTCGTTTATTGCGTACAGTGCCGATTACTAGGGACGCCCATGAAAGATAAATGGGGGAGGGTATTTTACAACACTATTAATGTATTTAAAGCTAATTTTTAAAAGGAGTCTCACAATCAAACCATAATACCTGATTTGTATTTTATCGATATAATTTTTTTTTAATAATAATTGTTTTATTGCATACCTGTGGCAATGAGCAGTTGTAAAATTAGGACAAAAAGGGAGGTAAGGAATATTAGAGAAACCATACAAATGTATAAGTTATATCCCTTGATAATATTTGACAAATAAATAAGAGCTATTCCGTATCTGTGGTTCACATGAAAGAGAATTAACAGTATCAACAAGAAGGGTGTGTGATGGGATGAGGAAGGAATGGCAATTAATGTTTCATTCCGACATTTATCAATGAATAAAACTGTAGCATAGGAAAATGATTGCATTACCAATAAGTGATTTACTTTGGCAAGAAGCATCGAATGCTAAATGAAAAATATATTTCTTGAAAAAGTAGTCAGTCTATACTGAGCCATTCTGATTAAGTTTTTTTTTTCTTTGAGATTCATTAACACTTGTAGATCTAGAGATGTTATCCTAAGTGGTACATTTCGATCAATCTAGTTTTCGGTAAGTGAATTGAAGCGGCCTTTTCGGTTCAACGAATGTTTTGTAAATAAATTCCATGTTGCGAGACTCTGGCTGTAATTCTATCCTAGTCTTTCGAAGCACCTGAAAGCAGATGGAATAAGATAATCTTAAGACATGCAAGCAACTTAAATAGTACTTATAATATTTTTTATCCATTATTCACACTTTGTCTTACAATATGTGCATTACACAAAAAAAAAAAAACACAACACTGATGTAAACATATTTAGCAAATGATAAGATACCTCTTTCGGATTATACGATTCATGGTGCTGATTACATAAAGCTTATGTATTTCTATAGCAGACGACTAACGAGGGTATCATGTGGCCAGTACAACCACCAGCCGCCTTAACTTTGCAGACATATGTCAGGTACCCATTAGAGTTTGGCGCAACCAGGGCGTCTTTAAAATCCCAAAGTTCGTAGGTCCAGTTCTCAGAGAAATTTGGACAAGAGGCCTCTCATTTAGGAAAACAAGCGCATTACCATTCTACATCACGGCCATGATAGGACATGCAATCTATTGATCAACCTGTGAGACTTCGTCATGTTCTGACAATGATCAAATGATCAAAAATGGAAAAATGATTTGATTGCTAGAATAAATTGTTTAAAAAAGCCTGCGACTTCTTTAACCACATAAGAAGCACTGACACTGACAAAAAATCTAAAACAATTTGCATAAAAATATGGTAAATAGTTATCTCCCTTACTAAAAAGCCTCCCGTGATTCTAATTATTAATAGTAAATAGCTGTATAAACGGTGTATTTTTATGAAAAAACTGCTTGCATAGTTGATTTTGGAAATTAAAGTTTTCGCTTTCAGAAAGAAAAATGTACCGGTTGCATCAGAACTTTGAATGGTCTAAAATATGATGGATTTTCAATATCTTTTCAAGTTTACGAGATCTAAACGGGACGGACGGACGGACGGACAGACAGATCAAACCAAACTAATGTCTATTTCGGGGGTTGTTAAAAATGGAAACCTAGTTTTGACATTGAAAAAGTGGGTATGTCGACGGAAGTTGTAACGCATGTTTAAGTTTGTAAAACTATTTTTAAAAATAATAAAAAGAATTTTAATTTAATTTAACAATATTTTATTCTAACTTATAAATTAAATGGATATTTAAAAAATCAGTTAACTATTTGCAATGCGTACACCCTTCAAACTCTTTTCGTACCCCTGGGGATACGCGTACCCCGCTTTGGGAAACAGTGATCTGTGATTGACAGTGACAATAATACATACAATGGATATCACATTAACATAAATGTACAAACCTTAATAGTTGCTAAGGAGATCATCTGAAGAGCAAGTCTTTTGCCAGCGCATTGCCTGGCACCGTGGCCAAATGGATTGGAGGCAATCAAAGGAATCTGTTCATTGTATTGCCCATCGTTTGACCTCAGCCAACGCTCTGGTATGTACTGGTCAGATTGGCTGAAGTTGTGTTTACATGCTCGAAAGTAAGCTTGAAATATCGGTATCTGAGGTAAAAAAAAATCTATTCTAAGCTCAACTTGTACCTTTCTGTAGCACTAATTTTTTTTACAAAGCTTATATCAAGTCACTCTGTCCGTTTGTCTGTCTGGTAAAAAAAAATTGTACACGTTATTTCTCTTTTACCCAAACTCGGATTTAATTGACATTTCGTACAATTATTTCTTGTACTAGACAAACCAAGAATCATTTAATAAATTAATCAATTAGTTAACTGCTTATTGGAACAAGGGAAAGAAATTTTACTTGACAGATGTAGTGGTATACGTTGAATTAGTCCCCTTGAAGAGGCTTGAGCGCTGAGTTTAAATATAAGTCGTATAACTTTTTTGTTTCAGGTATTTAAAAAGTCACCACGGTAATAATCAAATAGAAACACTTTTTTTTCTCCCCCACTACCCCTTTTCACAACTGGTCCAGACAAGCGTAGTGAGACAAGTGATAGGATCATAGCGTAGTGAGACAAGTGATAGGATCATAGCGTAGTGAGACAAGTGATAGGATCATAGCGTAGTGAGACAAGTGATAGGATCATAGCGTAGTGAGACAAGTGATAGGATCATAGCGTAGTGAGACAAGTGATAGGATCATAGCGTAGTGAGACAAGTGATAGGATCATAGCGTAGTGAGACAAGTGATAGGATCATAGCGTAGTGAGACAAGTGATAGGATCATAGCGTAGTGAGACAAGTGATAGGATCATAGCGTAGTGAGACAAGTGATAGGATCATAGCGTAGTGAGACAAGTGATAGGATCATAGCGTAGTGAGACAAGTGATAGGATCATAGCGTAGTGAGACAAGTGATAGGATCATAGCGTAGTGAGACAAGTGATAGGATCATAGCGTAGTGAGACAAGTGATAGGATCATAGCGTAGTGAGACAAGTGATAGGATCATAGCGTAGTGAGACAAGTGAAAAGATCATAGTGTAGTGAGACAAGTGATAGGATCATAGCGTAGTGAGACAAGTGATAAGATCATAGCGTAGTGAGACAAGTGAAAGTATCATAGCATACGTAGAAAGCTAAGAGCATTAAATGAGCTAAACAAAAAACAATTGGTAAAAAAAAAATTTCTAACCGCACAGATTTATTATTGTTAGTATAGATCTATTACAAATTTAATTACTTGACTGATTCAAACTAATTGATACAATTACACTTCATATAAGCTTTTTTTTCTTAAGCATTTATTATGTTTTATGGAATAAAGTTAATTGCTTTTTTTCCCCTCTCTTTGTCTAAAGAATTGAGGTGTACTCTAACGCGTTTCGCTGTAATTTTATTTCAATGTCCACTCTAAGCGACCATTGCTTTGCTATTTTCTCATTTCTTAAGACAACTTCATCTCCATTCCAGTCTAACATAACCAACACCCTGTATGGCAGTGCTGAACAACTGAAGAAAACAGCACACTATTTTTCCTTGGCAGTCTGCAAAAGAGCTCACAGCTCAGCAGCAATAAAGCTGGCTAGAAGAAGAAGAAGAAGAAGACAACTTCATTGACGTTAGAGTGATGCAGAACATGTTTGTCATATGATGCAGAATATGTTTGTCACATGATGCAGAATATGTTTGTCACATGATGCAGAACAAGTTTGTCACAGCTGAGTCTTTGTATTGCAACAAGAAAAACACACCAACGTTTATATTAAGTGTTATTGTAGCAATGAGTTTGGATCAGTCATGTGATTAAATTTATACTAGATCTCG